TTCAAAAACAATGCAGAGTTGTGACTTTAGGGCTTAAAATAGGTACAAGTTACGAGAGCATATGCGCTAAACTGCCATCAGCTAGCAGCCAAAACTGAAGTCTGTGATTGGGTTTCATGACTAGAGACAGGGTTTTGCGCATGTTTTCTATGGCAGTCTCTCGCTGTGTTTGTTGTTCGTATAAATGTAAGGGATGTTACAAATGTTTAGACCAGATGCATTGCTAACACAACATATAAACTAATGGGAGAGGAATGGAAGAAAGAAGCTGTGCAGCTCCTTTTGTCTTTGCTGTGATGACACAGTTGGTTTTTATTGCTGTTGAGGTCGCATCGAGAAACTTTAGCGTTTACACAGCAAATGTTGCGTGGTCATGTGTGTCGCTGACAACCTGTCCTCTTATGCTTAGATCACCCAAGATGTATGTTAGACCTTTTTTTACACCTGTCATACTTTATCATACTGTAGTGTGCACTCACAGTAATTTCAGTTGCATTTCAAGAGCACACTGAACTAGCTCAGATTTTTACTGTTTGTACTGATGTTTTCTTGTATCACATCGTATTACCTACCCAGAGTTTAGTAGTTGTATAACAGTGCATTATGACATTGTAATATTGGGATGCAAAAAATGACTGTGCATTGCTGAGAATCAGTGCTATATTTATTATGCCATCTAATGTTGCATTGTTGGCAAACATACACTACACTACTCCAGTTTTCCTGGCTCTAATCTATCAGTAAGGTATGCAAAAACAAGAATACAGTCATAATTTTGTTTCATTTAGGTGTTGCTAAAATGTCATGGGAGTATCAGATCATGTAACCAGCATCGTAAACAGAATCATGGGCTAGTTGTATCGTTACACTTTTTGTATTTAATAAGATAATTTCACTCATCTTTGTTTGTTTTGCTCTAGCCTTAGTTTTATACCTCAGTTTGTATATTAGTTTCACACAAGCTAATTTAGTTTTCCAGATTTTTAGAATGTTAACTAATATCCGCCAAAAGTGGATAGTGGATCACTTTTTAGCTCTCCATCCTACACTTGTGACTTTTTGCTGTGTTTTCATGCATATGCAGTCTTGGTTGTGTAAGTGTGTGCTGATTGACAAGGCAAGCTGGTGGGGAAGCTGTTTAAAAGCCAAGGCCAAGGTAAACTATTTTCCAAGCCATGCTTAAGATAATATTTTCACAATTATTTGTTTTGCCAAATAAACTTTCATGAAATGAAAGGTAAGTGAATATTATTATTTCTTTTTTGTTTCTATATCAAAATATAAAAAATATAAAAAATAACATTTCGTAGGGCAGAAACCACATATATATCAATTGTACTGGTTTATATATTGTATAGTTGTTAGATCAGATCTGAAGTGTGCTGTGCTGGGCCTTTTTGCTATAAAATGTTCAGATAGAGCTTTATTTTTGGTGAGGGGACTTTTAGTACAGAAGTGCATCTTGCATCCGTGGCACTTGGAGTTTCTCCAGCATTCTTCAATATTTCACTGCTTTGAGAAGGAGGTGCTGGTATGTGGCCCCTACTGCTGTGTAGGGCTGGGTAATGTGGTTACAAAATATGTTTCTATATTTTTCAGTCTTTTGGCTGGGAATGTGCTGATATGAAATTGTGGACTGATGATGATATCCAATATTTTTCATATATGAATTTTTATATTTATAAATGTAGAAATAGGGACTAAATCTACCTGGATTAGCGTTACAAAGAAATTTGGTAAAAATCTGTTTGAAATAATCGTGGTCCACTAAATAAACACATGGACAAATGGTATACAAATGAAATGAAATCAATCAAATGCATAATTCTTTTGTACCCGTTCATGCATTCTTTGTACTGCAAGGAATTCTGTTGGAGGTGGTGAAAGAAGCTTTTACATTTTTTTTTTTATTAAATCTTTACCCTCCTCATCTCTCTTTGAGCACATCTATGTTATTAGAAAACATTCTTATCCAGAGCAGCTCACAATGGCAAATAGGACTCTTTCCAGTATTGCGTTTCCTTCCTGGATGAGGAATTTTAACCCGCTCTTCCATGTGCGAGGTGAAGGCATCCACTGAGCTATCTCAGCTCAGCTACCTTACATGTTGCACTGTCACTTAATATTGGGGTCATCAGACTACAAAAGCTGCTATGGTTTTCAGAAACTTCAAGTACCTGCATAAAATATAGAAGTCCACCACAATGTTCCTAATGTTGCCTAATTTTGTATCTAGGACTACAACGATCAACCCAACACAATTATAATAGCATGCTGACCACAGTGGTGGACATACTCCCACTTTTTATTTTTTCATGAGGGAATAGCTTAGTGAAGCATATTTCAAACCAGGAGCAGTAACCAAGTCATGATGGGTTAATTCAACCTTGTTCTAGCTCTCACTTGCTGTCTCCCACAAACATGTGTCTGCTGCAGTCAAGCTTCAGCAAAGGTTCTGTAATTGATCTGATTCAGAAATGTCATTTGAAATGCCAGCGCTGGTAATTATCAATAGTTCAATAAATCTTTTTGAAATGTCAGAAACTTGCTATTATTCTGATTAGCCACCACAGTGATCACAGTCTGTGAGGCATGTTACTTCAGCAAAATGTGACATTGAATTTTGCTAGTAAAAAAGGGTATTTCTCTGATTTATAAGTCTGATTTTAGCCTGACTTTAACATTTTTGCAAACAAGATAAAACAAGACTGACTTCAAATTGTTAAGCTAATGTCATGACTAAGGTGAATTTTAATTTGGCAGTAATAAACTAATATTATTCCCCATATAGACTGTAATCTCATTTACAGTTGAAGTCATAAGTTAACATGCACTTTAGCCACATTCATTTAAACTCAGTTATTCACAATTTCTGACATTTAAGCCTACTACCCATTCCGTCTCTTAAGTCAGTTAGGATCACTACTATATTTTAAGAATGTGAAATGTCAGTATAATACTAGAGACATTGGTTTATTTCAGCTTTTATTTCTTTCATCACATTTATAGTGGCTCAGAAGTGTCCATACATGTGGTTAGTTTTTGGTAGCATTGACTTTAAAATGTTTAACTTGGATCAATGGGATTGAGGTCAGGGCTCCGTGATGGCTTCACTCTGTAGTTCTTAAGCCATTTTGCCACAACTTTGGAAATATGCTTTGAATCATTGTCCATTTGGAAGACATATTTGCGCCCAAGCTTCAGATGCTAAATGCTTATTTGTGTGAATCCATACTTAAGAGAACCTGCGAGAACCAATCCAACAAGTCAGTTTGCACAAGATTGACCCTTTAGATATTTCTGCAGTTTGTTTTATAGTAGGTAAAAAACAGCTGTATTCTTTAAATTGTAACCTCTGGTCGATACCAAGTAGCACACAAAGAGCAATATGGATAGAGTATAAAATTTTACAATTCTAAAAAAAAAGTCTAAAGTGAATAAGCAGCAGCAAAAGTTTAAAGTAAATAAGCAGTGGGATGTTGTGTAGGAAAGTGGCAGAAATATCAGTGGTCTAGCTAGGGGTGGGAATCTCTAGGCACCTCACAATTCGATTCGATTACAATTCAGAGGGCTGTGATGCGATTAAAAAACCATGATGGATGCCATCATGATCAAAATAATTCTCATCAAAATAATTGATAAGATGCGTCTTTTTTTTTCTATACAGGATTTCTTTTTTCTCACTGTGTGAGGACTTGGTACTTTTAAAGCAAATTATTTGTAATGATCCATAATGAATTTTACTTCCAATATCTTTTATTAATAAAACAATTGAAAGTTATGTGGCAAGTGAACTGGAAGGCTCTCATTCTGCTCTTGTTAGGGGTACATGAGACACTGGCTGCCACTCATCTGTGATAAAATGCGCAGTTACAATGACATCTACTCCAGTGGCAGTAGATGTCCATGCAGCACGTTACAGCTGTCCTTCCAGTTTTCTTTTATATTTTTTTGATTTTGTAACTTCGGTTTGGTCTCGTTGTAGAGTGGGGATCGCTGTGTCAGTAAAATATCTTCAAGACAGGATGCTGTATCTTGGCTCCAAAGTGTGCAACATAGCGCAAAACCCTAGTTCTCAACGACTGAGAACTGGCATGCAGACTGCAGGTTACATAGCAACGCAGTTATAGTACCTAGCTAGTAGCTAATGAAAAGGCAAAAACGAATGGACTTATTCACATTTATAAGCAGTGCAGTTGGTTTCCTGGAGCGTTAAACCTGCAATGAGAGACTGTCAAACACTAAAAAGTTGCGAAGATGAAGTCAGCTTCTCGTTCAAATTTTACAGCTCCAACTGCATTTACATTCTGGCACCTCAGGCAGAATTTAAGGTGGAACAGGAAAATTCAAACAAGAAGCTGGCGAATGAGAAGCAACTTCAGCCTTGTAAAACAGTCAAACGTTGAGAGACATTTTACAAGAAACTATTCTACTTTTGAGGAAAAGTTTTCTGGCGGAGATGCGAGGAAAGTGGCTATAGCTAAAGCTTAAAGCAGAGCAAAGTAAGTCTGCGTTTTTGTTTATATTTTCAACTTATATTAAGACATTAGCACATACTGAGACATACTTGACATTAAATATTGTGGATCCCAAGGTGGTTTGATTTTTGTTGAAAGGACAAAATGGCTCTTCTTAACATTTGAGTTGTCGACTCCTGACCTAACCTAGCTTTTAATGCAGAGGGTACCGATTGGATTTCTCAGTCATCCAGTTGTGTTTTTGTTACGTGCATGTCACAGAGTGTCCAAGCACTGCACTTCCATGCTTCCAAGTTCCGCCTTTTGCGTCCTGTCGACATTGTTATAAATGAAAATTTAGAAAATCGATTTGTGACATTTGTGAATCGAGTCAGAATCGTCCATGTCCGCATCGCGATGCATCTAAGAATCGATCCCCCACCCCCACCCCTAGGTCTAGCTCTGTATAGAATCATCTTGACTCAGCAGCACAAATGACTTTCCTCAACTTTGCTTGTTGCTTTGTCTTGTTCTGCGTCCTAGATTTTGATTGGAACTATTTCTGGGTGTGGAGTCGTTTTGTGGATTATCTGCAGTGCGTGCTGGCATTCACGCTGGTGGCAGCTTATGTGACGTACCTGCTGCTGGAGTCTGTACTGTTTGTGGAGACGCTGGGCTTCTTGGCCGTGTTCACAGAGGCCATGCTGGGTATTCCACAACTCTACTGCAACTACCAGAACAAATCTACTGAGGGCATGAGGTAGGTGGCATGATATATATGCACACATTTGTTTCTCTATGTAATTCTTTGTGCTGAAGTATGATATATTCATCTGTACTTCTCAGTTCGTCTAATCTGTAGTCTGTTTTAATGACATATCTTTTCATACCATATACTGACAACTCGGAAAGCAACTGTAAGCAACTGCTGTTTTGCTTGTATTTGTGAGTATTGGCCTGTATATTTGCTCTTTGTCCTCTCATGGTGAAATGTAACAAATACGCAAACAGTAATTTCAGTATTCAAATACTGGCACCTCAAACAGTTAACCGAGTATTCAATTTCCCCATGCACATCCCTAGTCAAAAACTCAACATTGATTACTTTGACGCATACTCACACATACTTTTATTCAGTCAATCAATTAAATATTTCTTATTTGAATAAATGAGGAGAAATTGTGAACAGCAGCTATAAAGGAAACAACTCACTTCTGCAGTCAAAAGAAGAATTAAATTATCAGTTGAAAGAGGTAGAAAAAAAACAACAGTCACTGACAGTCACTCCAGTTGATATCATGCCTTACAACAATGTGAAACCATGATAAAATCACAACACACTCCCTACTATGACTTATTGCTTTAGTTAACACATCTAGGTGGTCTAGAAGGGTTAATATTTGATTGCATTAAGGCAAATTGCTCATCTTAAATTGCACTGATTTAGAACCAGTGCTCTTTGGACATTCACTATCTACATCGCAGGTGCATAATTATCTTTCCATGTCCATTTATTTGTTTGAATGATCAACATGGGAGTTTATCTGGTTAAGTCATAATGTGGCCAATTGGACTAGGCACTTAATGATTAGATAGTCAGTTATTTTCATTAGCTCATTGCCATTATTATTACTATTTTTATTATTTTTATTGTTATTATTATTAATATTGTTGTTGTTAAAGTTGTTAATAGTGATAGTATAGTATTATAATCATATGCTGCTAATTCCCCAGAAGAGAGTGTTTTTTAGTTTTTATAAACTAAACTATGGAACTCACTTTTTTATTAGGCAGACTCCTAGGTACTTTTTGTAATAGGCCAGGTTAATTGTTGATTTATGAATGAGCTTATGCAGTACTTTAGTGTATAATTTTGAGGAACACTAGTTTATTAACAAACATTCTTAATATAAAATGAAAAAAGTATTTAATATGATAAAGCTTCTGGGAGGTGCTGCTCCCAGAGGTGCTGCTCCCCGACCACAACAGATAGAATAATTCCAGAAGCCTGCTGCACACGTTTAACAATCTGAGCATTCATGGAAAGAAAAGCCAGCTTTGGTCTTTTCTGTAGAGAGCATGCTATCAGTCCAGCCCACTCTGTCAATCAGATGTCCCCCCAGGTACTAGTAGGGCCAAAACATCTCCACATCCTTCTGCTGAATGTTGAATGGTTTCATAGACCTCCTATCATGGCAGAAATGCACCAGCAGAAATCCCCCACCCATTTGTCTTGTTGAGGTAGCCATCCTATGCACCACAAGATAAAGTCATTTCACCAGTTCTGGAGCCCCGCACACAAAGTCCATGTTTCCCAGTCAGAGAGGCATGAGGGCATTGAATGCAAAGTACTGTGCCCGGTGGTGCTTAATCGAGTTACCAATGTAACAGCTCCCAGTGACTTTAAACATTGTTCATTTTAGGGCTGCACAATATTGACATAAAATGCGATGTTCGATAAAGCTGCTTCGGATTTCATGAAGACTATGTGAGAAGCGATAAATTATTATTAAAATATTGTGTCTCTGGCTAAATGTAACGCGTTTTTTTGGGATGTGTAAACAGAAATCTAACTAACCTTTCTTTAAACCTTTAAATCTTTAAATCTGTTTGATTTTATGTTTTTGTTTAGCTATTAAATATTGTGCTGTCAGACACATTGGGTTGTATTTAGTAAATGTTGTTCATGCTTTTGGTTGAATGTAGTTAGGCACTCTGTTCTCTGTTGGTCCAGGACTCACACATACAGTTTTTTAATATAAAAAATATATGTTGTGATATAGCATGTTTTGTCAAAACTTCTTGGAAGTACTGCGATATTACATTGTTATCACATTGCCCCCCTCTACATAGTGTCACTGCCCTTGTGAGCAATGGCCTTAGAGGTACTCTCGCCAGCATTCACCAGTCTGGGTGTAGATGTAGAGAAACCAGCACAGGGGTTGGTGGCTTACTGCTGCTTTGAGTAATATGAGTGTGGGTACTATGTTCTGGCAGTATTTAAGTGCAAGTAGTAATGAGTATCATTTACCCTGATACTTGCTTGTTAACCATTAGCATGGTCCCTAGCTAATGTGCTTAGCTGACTCATTATTGTGCTAATTATTGTGTTTTTGCACTGTCCACAAGCCCTCACTTGCTTTAGGATGACTGCATCACAGTCATTTGCTTCTGATGTAAAGGATATATTTGTTCCTGACTTAATTGTCAGAAAAATAGCATATTCTCCCTGAAAAAAGGAGCTTCACATTGATTATATTAGTAATCCAGTAAGTTTATAAGAGGCACTATGGCCTAGGTACAGTTGCTTAGCTAAGATTGGGCAGTTGACATTTAAGAGAGTGATTTCTTATTTATAGAACATGTTAAATTTTCATTTTGAGTAACTGTTAATATAATACTTTTTATCAAAATTTCACCTACACATATGTGTCACTGTGCCTTTTTAAGCAAGTAAAAACAAATCTAGTTTCCTACAAAGTAGTTTCCTAGTGAGTATATGGCATATACCATACCATAGACTACACCTCGAGTAATTCATATATGAGGTCACAATGGAAAAACGTGCTTTGGCAAAATGCTAAACTGCCCACCTGTTTCCTCTTTTGTGTGTTTGTCTGCCTGTCTGTTTGTAGTCCTTGTTATATCTGTGCATAGATATGAATGAAGCCTGAGCTCAAGACCTGTTTAGCCAGTTTTTGGAAGGCTCTTGCTGTTGTCCTGTGGCATTAAAGCCTTATGTGATCATTTTCAATAGGGTATTAAAGTACTATTTATTTGGAAAGAGGCCAGAGTGTGATTTGCTGTAGAATTTTTTTCTATATTCTTATTATGAATTAATAATCCTGCTCATTTTTATTTCTTTTAGGTGGCTGTCGGCCATAGTGTAATTTTCTTACATTGTAAATATGTGTATATGTAGGGAAAGAAATCTTTCTGCAGTTCCTTTTGTGCTTGTACATGGTTTGTATTGATTGGAGCACTGTGTGTGTGTTAATATAAACACTGTGTGGTTAGAGCGACCCTGTGAGAGTGAATTTGTGTGTTTTGTGTGTCTTAGTAAGGTGCCGTCCAGCTCTCTGCTCCCCTGTTTGTGTGTGTGTGTGTGTGTATCTTCTCCCACACTCTGCAGTGACAACACATACAGTGAGGTTTCAGTGGCACCCTGCCACACTGACAAGATAAGCACTGCTGCTGTGCTGTATTTTTATTTCTTGTATAGCTGTTTGTGCATTAGCCTGCATTATGTGTATGCTGAACTATGCAATATTTACAGTGAATGGAAACAAGTAGCCTATACAAACCTATGTTATTTAACAAACTTCCATTGCATATATCCACTTCAGATTTACACATAATGTACTTATACTGTATTCAAAAGAATAAATTAAAAAAATTAAATTGATCAGGGAAATTTTATATATATATATATATATATATATATATATATATATATATATATATATTTACATATATATGTATGTATGTATGTGTGTGTGTGTGTGTGTGTGTGTGTGTGTGTGTATAATTGGTTTGATATTAAAGCAGAAAGTTCGTAAAACCATACGTGATTGCCCCCGACAGGTGCACCACACAAGTTAACAATGCCCGCTCAGCCTCAGACTAATGATAAAGAACATAAAAGAGAAGACAGCAGTGACCTGAAAACATCAGAAATAACTACATAAGCAGTGAACTGCACCGCAGTCATCTCTGTTCCTACACCTTACGCAAAACTCCTCAGCTCATAAAAGAGCCAAGAGATGCCCATCTAAAATTTGCAAAGGAGCATTTAGACAAATAAGAACTCTTTAGGAGCAATGTCAGATGCAACAAAAATAGAACCCTTTGACAATAATTTAGGTTGTGATGTTTGGAGAAATAATGGTTGACGTATGATCCCAAGAACACCATATCCACAGAGAAGTACAGAGGTGTGAGCATCATGATAAGCTTCTTTGCACATGGAACTGTGGCAGTAGAGATCATCTGAAATCTGAAAAACACGTATGGAGTGATGTACTGGGATATAAACTTCACTAAGTAGACTTAGCAGATACAGATTTGCAGATACAACCAAGCTACCTAACACCAGCATGGTATAATGCTGTTTTTAAGTTAAAAACAAATTTATAAAAAGACTACTGATGTTAAATATGGGGATTAAACATAACCCAAATCGGTGTCCCAAAACCACAGCTGGACAGCTCTGTCAGTAAAGCAGCTATTTTCTGATAGGTCTGTGGTTTGTTTTGACACGCACACTTGATGTTTCCAGTGTAGACATCCAGAAGGCTTTGTGATTATCCACGATGCTACGCAAAATTTTTCAGATGATGGAATGCAACCTTAGTAACGTTATTTATATGAGATATAAAACAGAAATCAGAATCTAAAATGACACACAAGTTTCAGACTTCAGATTTGACGTGATTCAAAAGGTTTTGAATTTCAGGGAGAATGGAAACATAAAAATGGTATCTCATCAGCGTAGCTATGAAATCTCATGTTTCTTGATTACATTTCCTAGACAATAAAGGTAGAAGAACACTGGTCCTAAATAGAACCTAGTAGAACTCCATAGGAAATACTAAAGTTTTTTGATAAATGACTACCCAGTGCAACAAAAACACGAAGCTGCCTGTTTGTCAAATGTGATCTAAAGCTTTCTAAAATTGTGCCTGGGCATATCCCATTTTCAAGTCAGTAGATCTTGTGCAGGCAGAAACTTCTATATTTTTCTATATAAACTCATAAATT